GACAGTGGAAGACCTACAGAAGAGGATTTTTTACCTGGAAGATCCACAGGTTTCTGACAGAGGAGACTTTTTGCTGGACCTGGAGAAGCTTTTCAGTTCAGGAGAAACTGGATTGACATTAAGAAATTGTGTCGTGAAATAGGAAATTGTGTCATTGCGTGACAGGAGTTGACGATAGAAAGTCTGACTCGAAATTTTTCATTTTAATTCTTGGAAGACAGAGAGGAGAACCCTTAACTTTTTCATGGAGCTTAACAGAAAGTGACGCTGATTGATAGAATCATATTGACGACCAGAAAATAATAACGAATTTGACCATAAAAAAAAGCACTACTAATTCACAACCTATTTAACTCAGATGATCCACAAACACCTATTTAGCTAAGGCAATTCCTCATACAGGACTTTCTTTCTCGGTACAAAAACCATTCAGTCTGTCTGGACCATCTCTGAGGACCTGACCTAGAGTGACTACGAACCTCTAACAGATCCTCACCATGAAAAACATACTATAAGCTTACGACCTATCTAATTGAAATGATCCACGAGCAACCAACTCAGACAATTCCTCACACAAGAATCTTCCTTTTGGTCCAGAGGCTACTCAGCTCACCTGGACCACACTTCTGAGGTACCGCAGTACCTCTCTAAAAGCACATAATTCACGCTCATCCATCAGATATACCTTCAGTAACCCATTAACCAACTCAGAATCCCGACTACTCACCTCAGAGGCGCGCACGAGGACAGAGGATGCGACGAGCAACAGCAGCAGCCAGCTCCCCATCCAGGTAAAGTGGCCCATCTTGCAAGAAGGGCCTCTTGCACCTCTTCTTCACACTTCTATCCTCCAGTTGGTTTAATTTTCTCTATCCAGACTCAGTGCAGACTCAGTAAACGCATGTCGAGATGAACTTAAGACCGTTTCCCTCTGACCAAGGGCACTTTTATCAAAGACTTTATGTACCTGCACCAGGAAGGCACCAGGTAGGGCCTACCACGGGAACTGACGGTGTCTACGAAGTGGTGTGTGGAGTCGTACACGGGACCGTACAACAGCGCACCGGCGTTCGGTAGCGTCTGAAAGGCCGAGCGCGCCGGCAAGATAAAACTTTTTCAAAAGCACCGGGTGCTCTCCCCTCCACCACGTTCCCTTACGGTCCTACGCTCTGTCTGACTTCCTCTTTCACCGCTCTCACCGTCCGCGGGGGTTCCCCACCTCGTACCATCTCGTTTCCACCGCTCCTCACGCTCGTTTGCCTGTCTTGTCGCGCTGAGCGCGTTCCTGCGGCTCCATCGAGCCCCACCACAACGCCGTACGACTCCCTCTACGTCCAGCTATGTCTTTCTCTGCCCGATTCCCCACCACGACTCGTCTTTCTCTGCTTCTACCCCTACCCGTGATATTTCGCGACGATATTCCTCTATCCCGTTCTATCCTACAGAACGTAGTCCCTCGTTCTCAGAATGTATTCCGCGTGTGTATGCGGCCAGATAGGAGTAAGTGTTCCTCTGCTTTCCCCTCCATCCGGTTAAAGACGTTCAAGGGACGACCATGGGGGACCAGAAGTGGACGTACGTCGGTTTTTTTTACAGGGTTAAAAGATCGAAAATTACCATCTTTTTAAATGGAGCTATTGGTTAATAGGTTTTTTTCACCTACACTACATACACTTCAAAGAAGTATGTTTTCTGGCAGTGCCAAACGTGACTTTGATAAACAAGAATATTCAATATTTGAGTGGGAAAAAATTTCTCAAAATATGCCCAAGTGTTACCCCTCGAATTGCAAGTCCTGGTTACTCTCTCTCTCTCTCTCTCTCTCTCTCTCCCCCCCTCTCTCTCTCTCTCTCCCTCTCTCTCTCTCTCTCTCTCATTGGCAGTATCGAGTGGAAAGAGTAACTCAAACAATGTTCACGATGGGCTGTTCAGGAAACCAAAAGTTCATGCGAATATTTCTCCTAATTAATTAATCATTAATTAGTAAAGTTCTCCTGAAACACCCTTTGATTCTATTTTAGGAACTCCTCTTGGAAAAATTCGCCAAGTATCTGAACAGAACGGGTGGTAAAAATAGCCCAATTCCACCGTTCCAGGATCCATCAATTCGCCCTGGCTATTCCTCGTTCCGTACGTCAGCCCAAGCTGTCCGGGCTTGAAAATTCGCGAGACAGCGAATCGAACGGCCATCAGCGACCGCGAGAGTCACTCTTCTGGTGGCGAAAAAAAAAAAAGAAGAGAGAACGAAGAAAAAAGAACCACGTTTCATCGTGCACGCGTGTTCTTCCATCCTTGTCCCTCGAACGGTACTGCTTGGTATCCTCGCTCTAACCGGGGGATCTGTTGCTCTCAGCAACAGATGCGAGGGTGATCTTTTTTAAACGGGTCAACCGCGCCTCACGTTTTCGCCGCGATGCATCCTGGAGCCGCGCAGACAGAGTAATTATAACGGGCGGACTGGTGAAGACAGTCCCCCCGATTCATTAAACTCATCGTCTGGGCAAAAAAATTCGCGGAGGTCAGACTGGTCCAGTCATAACCTTAAAATCCTTCGTTCAATATGCTTCAGATGACCAACGCTGTGTGTTAGATCATTGTTTTCTCTTGCTAACTTTCAACATAACCTCAAAATCCACAAGCAGATGACTATTAACGTAAGATCGTACCGCTGTTTTTCATCTCAAGATTAATTCACAAAGGTTAAAATAACATATACCCTTTTCTGAATTTACTGCAGGTTATTCCACGGAACGAAAAACCGATGGGAAATTTGATTTAGAAAAATGCGATTAATCCACATTAGTGTCAAAGGACTTACGAATGTCATATTGCTAATGAATGAACTGCAATCGATTAAAATGATGAATCGAATCTGTATTAAAGATATCCTTGGGGGAGATATTGAGAATGTCTATTCCGGGAAACCATGACGCATGTCAATTAGAGAAGAGCCGACTGACAGGCGAAGGAAAGTCAAGTACTCTTGGTCACCGTAGCGAAACGCACGTGGAAGCGCGCGGAGGTGGAGGATATTCACCGCGAATATATAAACTCGACCTGGCCGACACGGAAAAAATGGCGGGGGGAGGGGTGGGGGTGGGAG